AGAAAGATACAGAGGTACTTCCTCGAGATGCTAAAAGGATCGTGTATCCGTTATACAATTACACATTACAAATGGTTGATCAAAAGACTTTTCGACGCTTTGTACGATCGTATGACCTTTGAAGCAACCACCAAGTATGCCGATACCGGTTAGAAGAGCGTGCATAAGCATTTGTGACATCTACCTTTGCAACTTTCCACCGAAACTTCGAAATCGGGCAGGAATTATTGGAAATATTTTCTTCGACTTCCCAACGTCACTCATTTGCCGACAAGGGGAAGAAGAAAAGTGTGTCCAATGCTATTCACGTTTCGTGCTTATGAAACGGGGAGAAGGATCATGCATATGCAATGTAATGCATTTACGCCTCTCATTTAATAGCTGCTACGCTATAACAACCCGCGATAACAACTCCTTTGTAAAGTATAGCGGCTTTTCGCCTTTTTATTTGCCGCGAAGCGGATTTAGTGACCACGGGTAACAGCTAAATTCTCGTAATTTTCAAAATCGTTCAGAGGCTTGAACCGTAACGCGTAGGAGTACAACAACGCCGATCGAGAAAACCGCGAACCATTTCCTCCATCCGTTCGAAACAAGCTCTTTTTTCCCCCCCTCTGTAATATATACGTCAATTATACCGATTTCACACGTGCGAGTCCATGTCTGATGACACCTCGAACTAGATGGGTACATCGAACTGCACTTCGGTTCCCCATAAATCGCACCTCGAGCGAAGGGCGAGACAGAGCAGATGAAACAATGGAAAAAAAAAAAAAAAAAAAAAAAAAAAAAAAAAAAAAAAAAGGGGACGAAAATCGTTGATACGTTCAGAGTGTCAACGTCTTGGTTCGACAGAAAATTACCGTACCTGTCACGTACCGATCTTCGATTTTCCACGATTTTTCTCTCTAGCGAATATTCTATATGGTTCGCGGTAGCCGTACATTGCCCCGGTAAATCTTTTCTTTCGTCCTGTTTCATCGGAAAGCGGAAAAACACTTGAAAATCGATTTGCAAAGATCGACGATTCGATGGAAGAGAGAAGCGAGTGGAGCATCGAGGTATTCGCGGAAACCAGAGAAACGTTGGAAATCGCACGGTACTGCGTGTACGCGTTCCACGTTCGATGCCAGGAGAAAATCAGTTTAACTCCTGAACGAACCTTTGCCGCCTACCATGGCTAATCCCAGATCTGCAGGGAAGTTCACGACGGGGGTGTAAACCCGAGAATGTTGCGGCTAAGCTAGCCTCCCTTCGACCCCTTCCTAGCTCTTAGTCTCCTTCGGTTGGTAGCGTTCGGTACGATACCTGCTGCGAGTCTAGGCCAACCTCCAGCTTATCCCGACGACACTCGTTCGATACCGTAAAAGCCTGCGCGAGGGGGTGGACAGGAAGCAAGAACGAAACGGAGGAGGATGCGCCGAAGGATGGGGGATGTTGGTGGTTGCAAGCTATCCTACCACCCTACCATCCGCCTGCCAGCCGAGGATCGCGAGAGACCCCCTGCCAAGGGATCCCATAAAATAGCTGAAGTAACTTTTTTACTTTATCATCCACCGGTCCTCCCACGAACCTCGTCGATATACCTGCGCTCGTACACCTCTGCGTACACCTCTGCGTACACCGAAGGTGCAGTTGAGTTTCTTCGCTTGGTTCAAAGCCGTGAATACGCCCGATATTACTACGACTACTAACTACCGTGTCTTATCGTGCCCTGCAATTTCTACTTTCATCAGCGTACCATTCCCTACGAATATGCACATTTTTAACGTCGATAATTTTATCCTCGTCGATGCTATTTTACATGCGCAAATCCAAGTTTCGAAAGGTTGCAAAAGAATCGAAGGTTGCAATATAGTTTCGCTTTTCCAATTACAGAGCATCTAGAATGTCGATCGAGTTTCCTGACAATTCGTTCAAATTTAACATGGACGGGGCGAAATGCGAAATGAAATTAGAAAGGTGCTAATTGCTTCACCTTCCCCCCCCCCCTTTTTTTTTTTTTTATTATCGGAGACGTGTCGGTTTCTGGCCATACAGTATACGTTAAAACTTTGATCATTTCTCTCTCTCGTCCACAGAACCTTTCATCAATTTCGTCGATACGTCAAGCTTGTCAATTAGCGATAAAAACAAGGTACGATCAGGGAGGAAACCGTGATCGTGTAGAATATAGATTATTTCATCTGCTGCGACGACAAATGACACGTGATCACGCGAAACTCGAAAAACGAAGGATCCGACTGTCATCGGAAAAGGAAAGAAAAGCCCTATGATTCCACAGTGGATCTCGTACTATCGAAATGCGCTAGTCGAAAAAATTTCACGCGCAAACGTATTCAAAGCATTCGTCTTCCTTTTAGAGAATATTGCAAATATTTCGTGATTCTTTTCGTTTCCCATTGTTAATTCTTCAGTTTCGAAACAGTCTAACGGCAAGAAAAATGCATCGAAAAATGGAACAACGATTTTAGTACTAATGAACGTTCGCAAGGAACGCCTGACGGAAAATTTGCGTTTCTCTGCAACTTGTATTTTTCGCATAAAAGTTAGCTAAGAAGAAAAACCATGTAGCTTGGCATAAAATAGAAAAAACGAAGGTAGCTAACAAACGTGAAGCTAAGAGCGGACTCGTAGTTGTAAGGTATGTTGTGTTAGCGAAAACGAAATACGATCCGCGAAGCGAAAAGTAGAAAATGATTTTCAGTCGCGAATTTATTAGATGGTGGTCAGGATAACTTTTGGATCTTTTTCGAAACGCGCGATATCGAAAGGAACAATACGAATGGAAATCGACCAAGCGAGGTAAAAGGGACCGGGTCACGGGAGAAAAGGGTAAATAGATGGATAGACAGCGAGTCGTATCCAGCAGCAGAGTTTTCGTCCCCGCTACCCTCGAGAATGATTTTTCGAGAACGCACGACAGCAAGCGAACCTCCGAGGAAATCTTCGTGCACGACCTGGGCTATTTCCCTTTCCACGATGCAGACAGGACAGACAGGACGGATCTGCATTAACTATGGATTTCGCTCATCCTCTTCATCCTTCTTTCGGAGTTCTCTTTACGGTTTCTGTCTTTACCGTTTCACTTTTCTCTCGCAACACCATTTCCTTTCCACCAGCGGCCCTTTTGCCCGTCAACGAGGATAGTAGCAAACTTTCGTGTACGGGCCGATGGATAGAGAATGCTATCGAACATACCAGCACACGCGCGAATTAAAAATAGGATCGAACGTAACAACGAATTTCTCTTTCCTGCATACCGATGCATCCATTCGAATAGTCGAAATCGTAGCGATGGAGCTATTGAATCTGAGACGGGAACCCGTTGGGAAAAGCGATGCGTTGAAAGCTATAGCGTATATAACATACCTAAAGTTATTTCTTCCCCGTTGGGACTAACCGTTCGAACCGATCTTTGACCAGAACTGCGCAATGTTTGCCAAAATTAGCGAGTGACTTCTATTACTTCGTTCGGAAATTCTCACGTCACGTCACATAGGATCTCGCTTGGACGCGTTCGCGTTATCGACGATTTAACTTCTGGTAAACGAGATTCGCGTCCCCCGATCCGAGTCGAGTCGGGTCGAGTCGAAATCAGAGATTACGACGTAATTAATTGCCTGAAATACGGGGGATATGTCATCGTCATTTTGGAGTCAGCATAAAGCGCGGCTGAATTAGCGAGTATCGAGGCGACGGATTACCGTGTAATAACCGCGATTACCATGCAACTCGAGTCAATGGTCGCGCGCAATTTGTCATCGAATCGAAATGCGAGTTGTCGTTGATTGGTTGTTAGAAAGAGAACGATCGCAGTACTCGAACGAAGTGTACGCGATGTGACAGGACAGGAGGCCCACGAGGCCCACGAGGCGTTCCCCCTGTCTGTCGGTCGAATTCAACGTGCGCAGTCTTAAAGTCCATAGAACGGCTGGGTGCCGATTCTCCTGCGTTGGACACAATTGTTCCACGTCGTTGAAAACCGGTCTCTTCGGTATTCCTTTGGTTCAGTGCGATCCACACGGTTCCTGACATTCTTTTTTCCGACTACTATCATCCGTTTCCGACAGCCGACGAACAAATTTGACGACGCGGGACACGAGACGCGAGATGCGATATATACGCGTGACTTTTACGAGTCGCTCGAAACGTAACGGTTAGCAAATTCGGAACTTAACGGCACATGGTCACGGTGACCACGCGCCAATTCGTCGCGCACTAAAACTAAACGCATCGGAAACGTTTATGCTTGCCCGCGTACACATGGTCCACAGTAACGCGGGTTTCATCGCGTTATGTGAACACGCTCGTTATTTGACCGCGGTGAAACTCGAAGCGGGCATTATTATTTGCTGCTTCGAGAGTCGTTCAAGCTTTTTAAGCGCGACCGACTTCAGGGAGTTCTAGTTATGCAACAATTCCGAGATCCTCTTGCTGTTTTACGCACGTGTATAATCATCGTTCGTATCGAGTTAATTTACAAATCTGCCCGTCTCGGCTAAAGAGTCGGTAATGTACGAGTTTACAAATCTGGAACAAAAGCGTGCCGCACTAGCGTTCACATTTCAGTTTCTCTTCGACCTTTTTAAGAACCACGCGCGTAGAAATGTCGGTCACTTTTCCTTCACGTGTATCAATCGAGCGCGTATATCGCGTAACAACGTTTCTTCTGTTTCACGCGATCAAACGCATCGACCAGCCGAGTCGTTATCGTTCGAAACACCGTGATAAAATTTAATATACGTATATCGTGTAGACCGACTACGAAAGATCGACTCCGCTGATCGAAATGCATTTAGGTCGACGCCTAATCTAAAGGCCGCAGTAGTTTGCACCTGTCGCACGTGTACGATTTTTGTTCAGAGTTTTCCACAAATATCAAGCACAGTGTTATTCCACGAAGAATCAACCACTCGACGAATAGTTCAGAACAGTGTCCAAAAGTGTCCACGAAAATGTCTCTGAAAAGAAGTGGATTTCTCTGGTCGATTACTCACCATGCTGCGCAATAATCGGGTCGATAGCCACCAACAGGACGAGGAAGATAGGAGTCATATTGACCACCCTCTTTCCCGTCTTCCCTCGGTCACCCGTGATCACTGCACACTTAATACCACCGTTGCAGCGTTCCACCTATGAAAAAACAAATCACGCTCGTCATAACATACCACCTACACACCGTTGCGCTGGAGGTCTTCGTTCGATCGAAGACGAAGCTTTGGATCCACGGCTCGTTTATGCGTGTTGCCTGACGATAATCCGCCGGCTAGGAGGACGCGATAAACGAGGAAGAAGAAATTCGTTCTCGAGCTGCGCGTTAGCACGATCGTCTAAATATGCCCCCGGAATCACTCGTGAATGTTCAGCTAAGCGTATTATGTATCAATTATTTTTGACGCATAGAAAAATAGTATTTATCGGCGCTTTGCCGGTAGATGAGAGACAAATACTGACAAGGGAAACGAAAACGCTTATTCGGCGAAAATCGAACGTAACTATCGACACGCGCCATTTACTACCAGCACGGTACAGCGCTCTGTACCCTACGTAGAGATGCGAATCTCGCGAGCACGCTCGCTCACGATAAAAGAAAAGAACGACAAGTTTTTCACGAACATCGTTAACGATCGGTCACTTGTTCGTCGACGAAATCGCATCGAGTCGTTCGACTATTCACACATTCTTCCACTGACGCGATGGCTTCTTCCTTTCTGGCTTTCTTCGCGATCGTAGAAAGATCGATTTCGAAGGCGACGTTGTCGGGCTCGTTTCCAAAAAGTGGACTGTGGATGTATTTCCCCGGGGATCGACGCACTTCTTTTCCGTTTTCTACCACCGTTTCTCTCAACCTCTTCGCTCTACACCACGAATTCTATTTTCCCTTCTCGTTGTTTTTACAACGACTCCGACGACGAACGCTAATAAGGTATATCGCGATAAGCAAAGAAGAAGATCGAAAACATTCGTCGCCTTCCCGTGTTTCCCTTCCGCCCCTTTCCGCTAGCTTCCAGCATTCCCTTTCTTCGTGTGATTTCAATCGACCTTCAAACGGTTACCTGTACTCTTTCTTTCGGTGATTCCACGACCATTCCATATTTTTCACCGCCTCAAGTTTCCAAACATCAAGTACCACGTTCACTTTAAGATCTGGAAGCGTCTGCCCGATCTCCACCTGCCTCCGTTACATCTTCCCACCGTTGAATTTCAATCGTTCTTCTTCCCTTTTATCCGACTTACGATCAACTACGCTCTTCTTCATCCTATCCTCGCAAATTTCCTAATTTCGATCACTCTTTCAACGGACAGCATTTCGATGCTTCAAAGAAATCTATTGACAAAGCTTATCATCGTTGCGATTAACGCCTCGTTGATCACTCGGAAAAGCAGCAAATTTAATAGACAACGGCGTATATGACTCGCAACGAATGAAACTTCAAAAAATGTGTGACGAATATTATCGGTAAGATACTCCATTCGCGCGCGTCCTTTTTCCCTCGATTGGTGCCATACCCTACCCCGTTTACTCCTTTCGTCGATCTTTGATCCGAATTATGCTTTTAAAAATCTTGAAGATTTAAAATGGCTGAGGTAGAGTGAATATGCGCACAACGTGAAGCACCTTCACGACTGACCGTTTGCTTGCTCGCTCTATGCCCGTGATATTCGGCATGGACTGTTTACTTCCTTCTTCGTAGAATTCCTTGGTACGTTGAAAACAAATACGCGCGTTCCAGGAATCGGTCACCGATTTTAGCACATTCCTCTTCGCTCGAGCACTTGAAATATTTCCACGATACAAATACGGAAGAGGCGGGTAGGCGGGACGGCAGGAAAGACACGTGCGAATCTTGTAGCAAACTCAAGGTTAAATTGCAAAATAGCTAGCGATATTATGAAATCGCGTTGAGGGTAGTTTTCTGAACGCGCGCTGCGGCTTGACTGACTCATCCCCATACCCCCCGACGATACCCCCTCGCGACCTACCATCCAACGACGCGCAAGCGCCATATCCCCTCTGTTTTTCGACCTTCCGAGTGCGAAACGCCTATGAATTCGCGCCAGACAACATTTTCAACAGTTTTAAATATTCCGACAAATTGAAAAATGTTTGCAGAGCTGTCCGACACTCTGAAATTGTGGTTTAATTCGATCGAACGAGCAACATTTGCAGGTGAATCCTGCTTGCTGCCATAACCGTTCAACGATATGTGGCGCATTCGACATTACTAATAGTCGGTGAATTTCGGAAAATGTCCTTTCATTCTGGAAACGATGGTGAGAAATAGGGGAGAAAGTGTAGGAAAGATAGAATGGATACGAGAAAAGAAGAAAACGGAGAAGAGTGGCGTAGGGAGGGTGGTTTCGGCGCTGGTTTAAACGCGACGCATGCGTTCCTCACGCGAGAGGATGTCCGGGGTGAACCGTCGCCGTACTCTGGCCGACGTATCGCAGTTTCTAGCTCGATGTTTGTCCGCGTGGTACTCCCAGGGACGGTGCTGCTCGTGGCAACCACGAGGGTGTCGGAATACAAAACACCCAGGCAGAGAGTACGCGATTCGGACTGGTTTGAACGAAGAGAAAAACGCGAACATACGCGGCGCCCAGGGAGTCGGTTACGAGTCGGGAAGAAAGTATATATCGATACATCCCGCGACGCGATCTTCGACGCTTGCGCTTCTGGCCTGACCGACCAAAACTTGCCACCAGCTTTTTTCCTTTTTCCACCTCGATGCGAATCTCGGACCTTTCTCGTCGTCCAACCATGGAACTCGGAAGGCTCTTGGGAGTATGGCAAGCTTCCACCCGACGAGGAAACCCTCACCGTCAACGCGATAGTCTTTTCGAGCGGGTAAGTGGCCAATCGTGTGTACTTTCGAACACTTTCTTCTTCGTCTCTCCTTTTGTCGTTCATTATTAACGCGTTTAACCGGCGAGGTGTCGATGACATATTTCGCTGTTGTAAAAACGACGTGGCATCGATCCGAGAAATACGAATATGTTCGTTTAATTCTGAACCGAAGTAGCAAATGGCACGAACCCGTTAATAGGAGGCTATAACGATGAGAAACTGTAATAACAAAATCGATGACAGAACGATAATCCGATACTATCGAACGATTGTCCGAGGTAAACGATCGATATTTATGATATTAAGGTGAAAGTAATCTACTTCATTTGCGGTTGTATAGCCTCGTTCTCGTTCGGATACCTCCGCCAATTCGCTCTTTTAAAGTAGACTATCGTCGCCTACGTCACGCCAGGCTTCTTCGTTTAACAAAGTACACCGATTCGCTCACGGAATATCGGATGCGCATTTGCGAACATGCCGAACGGACAGTGTAACTCGTTCCCGAGCAAAGACGAATCGAAATACAACGCGAAACAAGAGAAAATTATTTTCCCTTTCAATTGTAGCCTTTTTCAACAAATAGTTTTTACAAATAGAGTTTCCTTTTTTTATCGTTTACGGCTCGGCTGAAGCAAAGGCTGAAGACGACGGTAAGCCAACGATGTGGTAGAAGGCGGCGAAGCTAATTAAACTACCATGCGCGCTACGATAAGACCTCCACAGTTGGACGATTAGATGTTACGGCTTAATAATAACCTGTCCATTAGCGGCTGTGAAACAATAACGCGTTATACCAATAATTCGAGTTTCTGACTATGCTGCCAAACGACTGACAACTATGGTAGAATAGACGTGGTATATTCCGTAAGAACGTTTCAGCCATTCGTTGCACGCATTGATTTTTAACTTAAAACAAACACGTTTCGTTTCGCTTTTTCCCTCCTCCTTTTCTTCCATTTGTTCTTCCTGCTATTTTCCATATCGAATCACTCGTTGAAATGAAAGAGGAACGCAGGAGCCAGCAGAGACTTTGAGTGAGAAATATAAACAGGTCAACGTAACTTGGCAACAGAATCGTTGAGAAGAACGGGAAAGGACGAGGAGAAAAGATGAAAAAAGACGAGCTTCGTAGCGTATCTCCGGAGGGAAAAGCGTGTTCCTTTGCTCCCGGTGATAATAAAAAATTCCAAGGTGCGCGTAACTTAATTTAATATCGTGGCCAGTGCACCGTGACCCGATGATAAATCCCTCGGTATCTCTGACCGCGCCGTTTCTATTCTTCCATTCTAAAATCTGCCTACACTTTCCGGTTCTCGAACAAAAGATGATGGTCGGAATAAGAATAACCAGGAAGTAACGTGGCGCCCCACTAGGTAGCGGAGGACAGAAATTAAAGCGAAAAGGTAGTGGAAAAAAAGTGTGGAAAATAAGACACGACAAACGATAGAAGGAAAATATCATTCGGTATCGAGTCGACTGCGTAATACCGTTCCTTGCTTATATCCTGTGTAACTAAACTCGTCGGCTATGCTGTTTTACGAGCTACCGTCACAGAAATACTCTGTACAGGCGAAGCTTTGTTCTCAGTTGGGAATGCTCTTCGACGGTGAAAAGCGCTGCCGAAAGGCATCGACTGATATTTACGCGTGTTACCCGATAACGTTTGCGAGATTTTCCGTGCTTATTTTTTGCGTTGCGGGACAGGACGCTCTGATCCGATTATCCGGAATTACGAATTTATAATCCGGATAAACGTAATTCTCGAACACATAAAAGACTGAAACAGTATATTGGACGGAACGTATTATTTCGTTGCAACTGTAACCGAGCTGCAACGACTCGAGTTCGTATTAACGTTGTAATAATATGAAAAGGTCCCTCCTTCCGTGTCCGGCATATTATTCGTCCGTAGCTTCCATTTCTCGGGTTCGATCCATTTTCAGAACGATGCCGTGCATCGTCGTTGGAATTTTTCGAACGTCCCGCACCTATGTATGTACGTGTTGGCACATTTGCGCGTCTGTATGCAAAAAAAAGTGAAAGAGAGGAAACAGGCAAACTGGATGCTGGCGGTGTCGGCAGCGACGGCCATGTAAAACATCGCGGGACAATCGTACATCGTGCACGTTCTAGTAACTTATGAATAAACATTTCTTGGCGCCACCCAGTGGAAAATTACTCTCGGAAATGTCCCTATCCTTCTACTGTCTTCTTTCCTCTATATTTTCCCTTCTTTTCCTTCGTTCATTGCTTCCATTTCCCGTTTTCGTTGTCTTCC